CGATAACGGATTATTGAGTTAAAGTAGGCCACGAGTCCCTAAAAGTATGTACGGGTTGTCACCCTGAATGGGAATATATACACAACTCACAAATGTCTGTCTGTATTTCATTATTTAATCTTTCGGTGATCTTCATATGAAATGTATAACTCCTTATGAGCTAATTATTATGTTTTCCTAAGAATCTAGAGATGCACGTTTCTGCATGTTTCCGTTGGTCGACTGCATGAGACCATTAAACCGTCATTGAGGATTCGGATCTGTATAATTCGCAAGGTTCTCTGTATGTATTTGCTGCCACTACCCATCAATGAACAGCTGTTCATGGTTTACTCTCCTTTGTCACCGATCAGGTTAAAGAAATGACGCGACATAGATTCAGGAATAATAACGGTTATGAATAATTGTCTCAATAATGTAGTTATTATGGCGCATTTGCGTGTTTGCCATATAACCATGAAATGGTCGAATGATGTTCTATTTTGTGCATTGAAATTACAAAGGAAAGTTATTCTTGGCCTGGTATAGTCCATGGCCTTTACAACATAACTCGATAGATAAATTTTATGAAGCAGCTTACTGATCAGTATTTGTCGTTATAATCGACTCAGTGGCGAAACACAGCAAAACTTGTATCAGTAACAGGGATCAGACGTCACGTTCTAACGATGTCCCGAATCGCGCTGAAAGACCTGCTCTTAAAAGCAGTAACTGGGAGATGTACTAACTTTGCTCATTGCCTGTCTCGTGTCACGTAACCCTGAGCATGCAACACATACGCACATTGTAAGCAATGAATCCGTAAAACAAGCCCTGGCTTGACTAATAGCCTGACGCTGTCGTCGACATAGAATCCAAAAATAAAATGATCGAATTGCCACGTATTAACCTGGCGCAAACATATGGAAGGAGTCTGTTCCATACAGCATTTGACTTTTGCCGAAGCTCAGAGTCTGGCACAAGATCGTGAACGTTGGAAGCTCTGTCTGACGTGTCTGCCTCCGCGACCCGAAAGGAGCAGCGGCGATGGAAGATGACGATGAAGAATTGTCACGTATTCCTAAAGAATGAATATTCATCGAGGACACTAGACAGTGAACTTCTTTACCCTACCCGTATCTTGATCAAGATGTGATAGAACAGACCCATGGTGATTTTGCTATGCACATCCTAGGTATCTGAACCAATCAGAGGGCGCCACAACAACATGGGATTTAGGGTCTACTACAACATCGTCATGGAGCTGGGATTGAAGAAGCGTACCTCGAGCAAACCGGTCAAGGCGCTGAATACTGATACTACAGTAAC